TACGATGCCTAATCCACTGTCACAACTGAAGACAATGCACTTGCCCATGACCTAGTATTTTGCAGTATGACCAGTGTGGCTCTTGTGAAGACACATGCCATATTATCTCTAGTCTCAAACATGAAGCAAAATGCGCCCTTGAATCTGACATTTCTGTGGTGACAATAGTGGGCAATTATAGTTGCAGTTTATACAGTAAAATGAGTTACAATACAGTCAAGGTTTAGCGCAGGGTGTGTGCGGTTGCACAGCTGCAAAGTCACTGCGGTCATCCTGTAAAGTTTCTTTTGAACTCTGTAGTCTGCATTTTTTACAGTAAAATGACAAGTCAGCATGCTAGAAAAAAATCTGAAAGCAGCACTATAACAGAAGAGAGACTTGAGTACTAAACTAAGGGAAGGTGGGTAAATAACATAATCGTACACATTAGCATTTTCATGAGAGCAGTTTTTTTTTGACACAACTATTTCATTATCATTTAATTACATCAGTCACTGGGACTACTACCCCTGTGTGAAAGTAAACTGTTTTTTTTTTTTACTTTTGGGATAAAGGTTTTGCATAAATAAAAGCTGATCATTTTAAAGTGGTAGTAAACTAATTTTTTTATACTTTTACCTACAGATAAGCCTATAATAAAACACACACCGTTTAGGAGATATTGTAGTGGCACTGGCATAACTGTGCTGTTCCTTCAGAACTGTGTGCCACATCCGTAGCTCCCACGCACATGCGCAGGAGTGATGTCATCACAGCTTAGGCCATTCCAGTGGCAGCAGCCTGGGAACCCGGAAGGAAGACTGGGTGAAGATGGAAGCCTCTGAAGCTGGAGGGCTTCATTCTCTGCTAAGTCTTTCATAATGTACTACTATGCGATGCATACTAGCCTTGCAAGGGAAAATCTTTTTTTTTTTTTTTTAGGTTTACTACCGCTTTAATCACCCCTACCAGTGTTAAATGGTTTGTCTCATCCATGTATTGGGATACATTCTGCTGGAGAACACTGAAAAACACTAGACTTGTTGGTTGGTTTACCAGATGTAAGTAGAAGCCTAAAAAAGAAAACTAATACAGCCATCACATCTAAGAATTGCTAAGCTGCACTATAATAAATGTCTGCTTTTGGGTTTAATACTGCTTTAAATATTAAATGTACAGAACAACTATATTAGAAGAAAGCCTTGAGATGCACACATGAAGAACAGCCTACCATCTCGGAACTTCATTTTTTTCATCCAGACATTGCTGTAACATATTAGTCTTTCCCAATTGTCAGTAATCTGGTGATACTGGAATGCATCTGCTTGTGATGATAGAACGCCATCCTTGCTGCCTCTCACATTCAGTAAATGCCAGTTCTCTACAGCTTATCAGAACAACCATTTAAATTTAAACCTGCTTGAAAATTTGAATGTGATTTTTGAATTAGGATGCAGAGAGAAATCAAGTTACACAGCATAAGCTACAGTAAATACACTCCTACTGGCCTCCTACTGAGTCTTTAAAACTCTGCAGAGGATTATGCAAAGTTATAATAATGTAAACTGAGTCAATTTTCCCGTTTTGGCACAGCTGAATTATTTTATAATTACAGCACAAGTAGCTCACCGGCGCTTTCAAGTATTGCCAAAAATTGATCCCAAAACTTTCATACTAGTACTCTTTAGAAGTTTACTCCAGTCCAACATGAACATTTTGCATTGAAAGTCATTTTCACTTTTACAATCCGATGTCCTTACAGAAACATTCTCCAAAGTTTTTGAATGGCTTAAATCAAGACATGAGAAAATGCAGACCAGTATGTCCCATGGTTTCAGTTCTGTTGCTACAGTCCCACATACAAACAGTGCAGCACAAGAAAGAAGCTGAACAAAACAGAATCGTGACAAATCCTGCTAAACCGCCCTTGCTAAATTCCTTAAAACAGAACTCAGATTTATGTAAACATGGTAAACGTTCTGCAGAGTTTCCCGAATTACTAGTTCGATGTTTGACTCAACTTGTTGAGCAGAATTGACTTTTAACAGTAAGTAAAACATTGCAAGTGAACATCCAAGCCTTTTTGTTGGTCATACTTTCAAATGATCTTGAAAAGTCTTTATTTTTCTATTAGCCTGGCCATGGAATCAAACAGATACAACATCTGCACAGTGTTTCTGATCTCCAAATACGTCCCAGACAAACTAACACTTCTTAAAATCTACGAGACAAGACTATTAGTCGCTTGTCCACTGTTCTAATTTTTCATTCTTAGTTCGCTATAATGAATTTTCTACATCAACAGTCAGCTACAGTAGTTTTAGAACATTGCTGTCGTACAGGAAACAAGATAAGCAGTAGCAATGAAACAGCATCCTTCCTAGCGTAGATTAAGATTGAACTTTCCAAAACGGGACAAATGTAGACGATAATTTTTACTGACAATTTTAATACAATTTGGAATTGAATTTGAGTGCACAGAGGCCTGTAAGAAATATACAGTATGTATTTGACTTTCCTTACAGAGATTGATGGAAAGTCAAAATGAATATACAAGCTGCATGTAGTTTGATCCTAAAGCAACATGCGGTAGCTCAGCACAGGTCACATACTACTGACTGCCCTCTGTGCTGTCCATAGATTCCAATAACTTTAGCTAAATTACCCTTTATGTCCCCCATGATTGCATTACCACAAGGAATGATTTACTAAAATTGAAGAGTGCAAAATCTGGGGCAGTTGTGCATGGTAGCCAATCAGCTTGTAACTTCAGCTTGTTCAATTAAGCTTTGACAATAAAACCTGGAAGGTGATTGGTTTCTAAACAGAGCTGCACCAGATTTTGCAATGTAGAAAAACACCCTCAGCACACTAGAGACTCATATCCTGTTGAATACACAATAAGTCCATGATAGTCCATAGCTCTATAACCACTTAGGTGGCAGCCATCCCAGAGTATGCCAACTCTATAGAGATAATGTATCAGGTCTGTAGGAGCAGCAAGCTTCGAGCTCATAGCCTTTCCTTTGTGTGCCGACCTCTACCCTGGGTGACATCACATCTACCCGGCTCTTGCGGTCCTCGCTGGTCATGGACACTTCCGGTTCCGGCGGTTGCATTATGAGACTCTCCTACCATCCACAGTGGTCTCATGGCAGTCGGATGGACTTCTGCAGGGTGTGGATGACGGCAGCATACCTGGAAACTATCCCTAATAGATGGGCTTCTTTACCTCTTCACTATAGTGAGTTTTTTTTAAACAGTGGCTTATTAAATTTCATTATATACTGCACTTAGATGGTGCCTCTTTCTCTTCTTTCTTATACATTACCAGATTCTGCACTCTCCAATTTTAGTAAATCAACCCCCATGTGTTAATGCAGGATACAGCATGGTTAGAAGATGTGGCACCAATGGCGGTGTAGAAAAATGTAATAACAGTGAAGAATCTAAACCCTTAGCAGTGCTCAGTTTTCATTTGTGTGTTGCCAACTAAACCTTTTCTAAAGCTGACCTGAACCCAAAAAGTAAATATCTGTAATCTTTTGTGATACATCTAGAAACTTTAATTTTGCCTAAGCAGTACCCTTTGCCTTTCATTCCAAATTCCCAATGCAATTCCTGAGCCTCACAGCTGTACATTTGCAGTGTTAGGTTATCCAAGGCAATGTGCCTGTGACTGCTAGTCTCTCAATGTCTGGAGTGAGATTTGGTATTGCCACTATTGTGCTACTCACTGTTCTCCTTGCTGAAAAGAATGCTGTCCTTAAAGACCTCCAGGCAAACATCTCCATGCTTCTGCTTCATTCAATCTGTGGATCTGTTTTTGAGTAGTGCAAACCCACCCGATTCTACGGGAAGCCGTCACATGATCACATCTCTGACAGCTCAATGAGTTGCAGGCAGGAGATTCCCCACCCCACCGCTGCATGTTACAAGAGGGAAGAGATGCTCATGACATTATTGACCTAATATAACCACATGGCTGTAATAAACAATGCCATCATCTTGCCATATTAACCCAAAGAAGTCACATGCATCCTATCCCTTCAAGATGGCCACCTCCACACAGAAAAACAAAGCAGAAATCGGCTTAGTAGGTTAGTTACATTGAAACCATCAGCTGTAGGGAGCTTGCAGGCAATACTGATGGCTAGTATCTTATCCTCTGCCTGCGTTTTTGAGCATAGCTTCCACAGTTCAGGTCCGCTTTAAGGCTAGGGTCACACTATTGCAATTTCCCTGCTGCCACATTTGTGCGGGCACAGCTGCCCATTCATTTGAATGGGCTGCTGTACCTATGGAAAAATGCAGGGAAAAAGTCCCAGCACCTTTTTTTCCCAAGATCTCAGCCGCAGAGAGACGGCATAGTGCTATGCGGTTCCCAGCATAGAAAAATAAGCTTAGTTTTCAAATGCATGGGGGTGCCATTATTCTTAAAATTGAGCAGATTCCCAAATCTGCTAACAGCAGTGCATTTTTGCTGCGAGGAAAGCGTGTGATTTACATGCAGTCCTGCACCCGCATAAGTATGATCCTAGCTTAAAGTGTTACTAAACCAACAACAGTAAAATAAATCTGTATATGTAGTAAAGCATGTTTGTTACACCCACTGTGGAACCGAAGGTGTTAATCCTCTGCACAGTTTAAAAAAAGCAGTTTGATCCTGTGTTCTCTGATCCTCCCCTTCTTCTGTCCCCAATCCATCTGCTGATAGTACAGAGCTCTAGGAGTCACTCTACACATGATCAGTTTAGTGTGTATGGCTAGAGGTTTTCTTTTTTTCTTTGGGAAGGTGTATGTGATCAGCACAGGGCCAATCAGCATTGTCCAGACAGAAGGTCAGAGGTCGTGCAGCCTCACAGAATAGTCAGGGGAGAATGAAAACTCCTCCTACAAGCTTTAACCAGTGCTCGGCCACACACTGATAGAAGTCACAAGACTGCTATATACTGCGGATGAGAAAAAGGTATTTAGTAGTTTACATTCACTAAATAATTGCATTTCCATGTTTTGTGTACTGTGGGAGACCAGATATAGTGAATTGTGTTTCCATGTTGTGTGTACTGTGGAGACCAGATATAGTGAATGCAGAGTCCTGGGTTTAGTAACACTTTAAGTAAAACTCTACATATAATTTCAGGGGGGAAAAAAAACAAAAACAAAATTTTATTCCAAATAATATATTACTGTTCGTGTCAGACTTTGAAACTGTCAGTGTCAAAAGGACAATGGTGCAGGCTCTTACTTCCCTTCACTTTAGTATACAGCTGAATTTATACATAGATTAATTATATATTTTACCTGTAAATTTAGCTGTTTGGCTGATATTTCACTAGAGAAACTGTCATGATGCAAGATCCAAAAATCGCACATGGTCTCAAACTGCGATGGCGGTTTCAGCTCTATGGTTTTGATTAATGTTAAGACAAATATGGCAATCTATCCTTCACTGCACTTGTATTTTGGTTGGTAGGTTTCATTTTGTGTGGACTTTAAGGCTTTACAACTAAATACTGTGATTCTTGCAGAAGAATATCTATGGCTAGGTTTCCTTAATCTGCCTTTGTATAATGTACACTTTCTGGGACTCTATTGTTGCTTACAAAACAGTAAACAGAAGCAGTAAGGTCAGGCTTCATGCACATGGCCCTACAGCCCCAGCGTGCTGAGCCTGCATAATATCATTCCTGGGATCCGCTGCCACCGCATACAGCCATCCATTGAGATTCATTAGAAGAGGTGGCTGCATGCTGTTGTGTACCAGGGTTTGCGTACAGCACCGACGTATGCTGTGAACACACACTGTGCACTACTTTAGACATTATACTTATCAGTACTTCACTGGTAAATCCAATCTTCACTCTTGCAGAGTTAAAGAATCTTTAGCATCCGATGATGCCATGGGTCCCCCCAATTATTACATCACCAGTGTGTCTCTGCAGGTCTGAAAGCACACACTACTGACATTGTGGCCAGGCGGGGGGGATGTTTCAGATGCTGAAGGTTTTACCAGCGCTTCTAGATCTGCAATACTATAAATAATGAATTCACCGAATGCGAGACTGGTTAGTGTTGAAAGTGTCTTTTACATTGATATAAAATAGTGCAGCGCTAAAAATGATATACAAGATCAAATAAAATTCAGAGAAGCGTCCATAAAGTTTATGAATTGTGACTGGTGAATCTACTGGATAATGGTGGTGCTCCGTGGGAAATGATAAAAATGCGCACTCACCAGAAATAAAATGAATATGAATGTTGTATAAAATTCCTCATCAGAGGTCCGGTCAGAGGTCTGGTCAACTTGGGCAATCCTCCCTTCTGTGTGATGACAGAATTCAGTAAAGATGAAAAAGATCCAGGTAACCAGAGGTTTCCTCAAAGGGGCTGGCTGGAAGGAACTGCCTGTTTACAGGGAATCTTCCACCTCTCGGTATGGTGCCTGGATCCTGGTACAGGGTTTCTGAAAAGAAGTACTCCTCTCAGGGAGTTAGAGAAGGACGCCCATAGTATAGTAAGGTTATCAATAGAATTTTATTATAAACAAGCAAAGGTATCCAAGTCGCGATCGGTAAATAAAATTTCACCCAGGTATAGTGTGAACTAACCCTAAGAATATTAAAGATGGCCGGCGGGCCTCCACGTGGCTCCAGCGGCGTAGCGTCACGACATCCGGGCTCCTCCTTACGCGTTACGTGCGCACGCACATCATCAAAGGAATGGAACCAATGATGCCATGATGCGGTGGGGGGCTTATATGCGTGCAATGGCGCGTGCGATCAAGCGCCAGTTTACTGGAGCTCAGAATAAGACCAGCGGCTAATGTATCAAACAGAAAGATCGCACTAGCAGTATTTATACAGCGATATTGCCAATAATCGTGCGGCCATGCGCAACTGCAATCATATGAGCATATGTATATAGTAATATCATAAATACACAACAGAAGCGACAAAAAATTCCCTAATTATCAGAAAAAACATGAATACATAAAAAAATAAGAACATAGAGCCTAATAATTAAGGAATTTTTGGTCGCTTCTGTCCAGACACCATACCAAGAGGTGGAAGATTCCCTGTAAACAGGCAGTTCCTTCCAGCCAGCCCCTTTGAGGAAACCTCTGGTTACCTGGATCTTATTCATCTTTACTGAATCCTGTCATCACACAGAAGGGAGGATTGCCCAAGTTGACCAGACCTCTGACCGGACCTCTGATGAGGAATTTTATACAACGCTCATATTCATTTTATTTTCTGGTGGTGAGTGCGCATTTTTATCATTTCCCACAGAGCACCATCATTATCCAGTAGATTCACCAGTCACAATTCATAAACTTTATGGACGCTTCTCTGGATTTTTATTGATCTTATATATCATTTTTAGTGCTGCACTATTTTATATCATTTGATTTATTGCATATATTGGTTGCTTTGAGTGCTTAGCTGCTTTATGAATTAAGTGCTCACTATATACCTTTTCCGTTTTGTTTTGTCTTTTACATTGTTGTGCTTGTTTACCAATTTCTAAAGTGACAACAGAGTTTCAAAAACGTCTGTCTTGTTTTAACTGTTGACCTTTTCTCTGAAAAGAACAGAGCTATGATTTTAGATGTTGCCTACAATGCCTCTGGTGGTTAAATCTGGTAATGTCATCTGACCATTCTGACATGATGATTTTTAGCTAACAAAGCAGAACCAACCAATAACATCTTGCTTACAATTTAGGTTGTGTGCTACTGTGTGGACATATCAGACAGAAGTACAGTTTTTGTTTACCATAAAACATAGCATTAAAAGCCATTCTATGTGTGTCCTACAGGCCAAAATTTATATAGAGGAGCTTTCTTTTTGTCCTTATAGCACTTTTCATTATGAGTAAACCATTAGAGCGTCAGCATGTAAATGGATTGCCTAGTCAAAGAACTTCGTATCTAAGCAGATTTCATGCAACATACCTATTCATTTTGGGAGTTTGCAGTCAAATTTAATAAGTCAAAGAAAAGAAAAAACATCAACAACAAAAGGAAGAAATCGAATTCATGTACTGTAACCCATTCTTACCCAGTTATGACAGAAAAACAGTTACTTTTCTTGCTAAAGATACCCTATTTATCATGGTGTAAAGACCCTTTTAAAACGTGGTGCACCTTGCTCAGGGGGATCTGTCTGTTGATCCCAGCTGAGAAAGCTGATGACAAGTCTGTGTCAGGAGGTCCATTTCCATCGCGAAATGCCTTTCGATCCGACGGACAGAAGGGGAACAGATCCCCAGTCTGTTTTTGGGGGATCGGACTGGATGTCAGAGGTGTGAAAATGGACACATGTCCGTTTACACCCACCGCTCCATAGAGGAGAACAGAGGTTCCAATTGGGTCCCCCTGAAAAATGGACAGGCGGAATAACTGATTGGAACGTCCATGTGAAAGGGGTCTAAACAAAGTCAGCAAATAAGCATACAGTCATGGCCGAAATTGTTGCACCCTTGATATTTCTCCAGGAAATCATGTATTTCTCACGAAACGTATTTGCATTAACACATGTTTTGCTATACACATGTTTATTCCCTTTGTTGTATTGAGGACAAAACAAAAAAAAGGGATTAAAGAAAGCAAAATTTCGACATAATGTCACACAAACCTCCAAAAATCGGGCTGGACAAAAGTATTTTGGGCACCCTTTCACAACTGCGGATAAATAACGAATGTTAACAAGCATGTGATGCTCCTGTAAAAACTCACCTGGGGCAAGAAAACAGGTGGGGGCAATATAGAAATCACACCTGAAAGCAATAAAAAGGAAAGACGTTCACGTTAACCTTTGCATTGTGTGTCTGTCTGTGCCACACTAAGCATGGACAACAGAAAGAGGAGACGAGAACTGTCTGAGGACGCTGAGAAACCAAAATTGTGGCAAAATATCAACAATCCAAGGTTAAAGGTCCATCTCCAAGAACTAGATTTGCCTTTGTCCACAGTGCGCAACATTATCAAGAGTTTGCAACCCATGGCACTGTAGCTAATCTCCCTGGTCGTGGAGGATGGAGGAAAAAATTGATGAAAGATTTGCAACGCAGAATAGTTTCGCGGAATGGTGGATAAGCAGCCCCAAACATGTTCCAAAGACATTCAAGCTGTTTCCTGCAGGGCTCATGGAGCATCAGTGTCACGCGAACCTATCCGTCGACATTTTAAAATGAAATGAAACGCTATGGCAGGAGACCCAGGGAGGACCCCACTGCTGACACAGAGACATAAAAAAGCAAGGACTATACAGTTTGCCAAAATGTACTTGAGTAAGCCAAAAGCCTTCTTGGGAAAACGTCTTGTGGACAGATGAGACCAAGATAGAGCTTTTTCGGTTAAAGCACATCATTCTCTGTTTACCGAAAACGGATAATGAGGCCTACAAAGAACAAAACACAGTACCTACGGTAAAATATGGTGGAGGTTCAATGATGTTTTGGGGTTGTTTTGCTGCCTCTGGCACTGGGTGCCTTGACTGTGTGCAAGGCATCATGAAATCTGAGGATTACCAAAGGATTTTAGGGGTCGCACTGTAGGGCCCATGTGTCAGAAAGCTGGGTTTGCGTCCAAGATCCTGGGTCTTCCAGCAGGGACAATGACCCCAAAACATACGTCAAAAAGCACTCAGAAATGGATGGCAAAGAAGCGCTGGAGAGTTCTGAAGTGGCCAGCAATGAGCCCAGATCTAAATCCCATTGAACACCTGTGGAAGAGATCTTAAAATTGCTGTTGGGAAAAGGTGTCCTTCCAATAAGAGAGACCTGGAGCTGTTTGCAAAGGAAGAGTCCCCCCCCGGTCCAAAATTCCGGGTGAGAGGTGTGTCAGAAGCTTATTGATGGTTATAGGAAGCGACTGATTTCAGTTAGTTTTCCAAAGGGTGTGCAACCAAATATTAAGTTAAGGGTGCCAATACTTTGTCCAGCCCATTTTTGGGGTTTTGTGTGACATTATGTCATATTTGCTTTTCTGCCTCTGTTTTATATTTGTTCCAATACATACAAAGGGAATAAACATGTGTATAGCAAAACATGTGTTAATGCAATACCTTTTTTGTGTGAAATACTTGATTTTTCAGGAA